GGCGGGGAGGAATGGGGCGCTGAACGGTGGCCGGGGTGTGTTGGGGTCCGTAAGCGGTCGCCTATGTTGTGTCCTTTTAAGTATCAGCCTGCGGAGAGCTGACCTGTCGCTGCCTTGGCTCCTTTCAGAGGCTGAAGGCTGCGGTTCACTACACGGTTGGCTGCCTGTGTCAGGAAGTTGCAGAAGACAAAGACATGCAATTCAGCAAACAAAGCATTGCAGCTATTTCAGAGATCACCTTCAGGCAGTGTGGTACAGAAGTTTGCGTATTATTTATTTGTTCAAGAGCAATTGCTAGAGAAATGATGCTTTAAAAAAATAGCACTGAAACTAGGTATCATTGGTGCCTTGTTTCTTGCATTACATTTTTAAAAGTACAGGAAATAGTGATTCTGTTTTTCAGACCTGGAAGAAGCATTTGAATGTGTGTGGAAATACTGTGTGGGCCACCTGCCTGTGCAACAGAGTGGCACTTAATAACAAGTTATGGTCGCTTCTCATAACTAACTTGGATGATTTGCAGTTACACCTTTGTAGCAGCTCGAACTGTGTTATGTATCTCTTCTCACCCGCTTAGCATTTTAAAATATGTGGCATCTTTGTGTTTTCTCCAGAGAACTTTGCAAAAGACCTCGAAATGTTTGCAAGGTAGGTACCGGAACAGTCGATTGTAACAAAGGCTTTCTTTTTTTTGCATTTTGCTCCAATAACTAGATAATCTTTAAAATATGTCTTGTAATTCAAGTTTTAAAGGATTCTATATGCTGATTGAATAGTGGCTGTGAAGATAGGAAATAGATATGCCCCTGTAGGTTTTTCCTGATCTTGGAAGTTCATTTATGTGGTATAAGTGATTGTTTAATGACTGTATATAACTGAAATGTGTTGATACATAGCAGTACTAGATGGTTTGGGAGTGACAGATGTTTACTAGCATGCCTGTGTTTCATCTGGTTGCTCCAGGGAGGTAAGGGAATGTTTTAAGTAGTCAAAACACAGTGACCTACTGGCAAGTAAGAGGGAACGTAACAGTGGTGCTTGAAGTTCTGGTTGCTAAATGCTACTGGTTTTACACAGGAAGCGTGGGAATTTCGATGAAGACATACAAACTTGTACAATAGGGTTTTGTGTATTATAGTTGGAAAAGATAGGCATGTTTGGTTTACTGTGTCCCTATTAAGCCCTTTTAGTTAGTGTTCTGAATTAGATGCGGTCTGGCTTTTTGCAACCATTGTTGGCAAACACATTAAGGAGTATTTTTTAATTTTATGCAGGCATGCAAAACGAAGCACAGTCACTACAGAAGATGTGAAGCTTTTGGCTAGAAGGAGCAATTCATTGGTGAGATTCACTGTATTTTCTGCCTCACAACATTCTTAAACCAACTCCTTCATTCCTAAGAGCATTTGAGTGAAGGCTATAGATGATGAAGCAACTGTTGCTTAAGCAGTTTGACTGGCTTATAGATGATGGATGGGCACAATCCAGTGATTTTTTTAATTTTCATCTTACTTTGCTTCATGATTCTATTCATCACTGTGGGGACACAGATCTGATTGCAATTCAAGCAGCAATGTTCTGATTGCAGCAGGGCTGCTGAGGTTCCAAGTACAAAGACGCGATAAGCAGACACATTATGGCATGGTCAATCTTGGTAGTAAATCACTTGTTTTTTTCCTGATGTTGTGTTTCTTTGTTTTAGCCTAAGGTCAGGTATAACTTGAGTCCACCTTGTGGTGCTAAGGCTCCTAACATTAATGTAGGGATGATTCACATTATTGTATTTTCTCATGTGCTGGTCTGCATGATGTTCAGTGGACTTAAATTCACTGATGTGTTAAGATATACCTGTAAATGCTTCCATGAAGAAGAATACTTCCAATACTAATTTTATGTGAGGGGATTTTTTCCTTCCATCTGTGATTTGAAATACGCAACATGAACTTGCCTGAGCAGGCACAGTAAATGCTGGAGATTAATTTTGTGTTCCTAACTATCATGTGCTGTTTATGTCAAGTGGGTGCAGAGGAATCTTGCAATGTTTCTGTACTCAGATTGTATATTGGCAAACTACAACTCTGTTTGTAGCCGCTAATGTTGCTGTCTTGGTTCTAGAGATGGATGTGACATACATTTATAAACCCTAGTCTTGCCAGGGCATTTCAGTATCTGAGGATATTCAGCTTAGACTGAGGGCTTCAAGCAAGAATTAGAACTAGTTAATGTTTGTCAGCCTTTTTTGTAATAAGAATTTGCCCTGTTAATTTCTCTTAAATGTTTCTCTCTAATTTCTTGTAATAAATGAAGTTCCTCAGTAGATGACTGATCAGTTTATTGTTCTCAGCTAAAGTATATCACCCAGAAGAGTGAAGAGCTCACATCATATAACATGGAAAAAAAGGAGAGCAAGAAAAAGAAGTCCAGTGCAGCTAAGGGAGGCAGAACTTCTGGGGAACAAGCAGCAGCTGAGAGTGAAGATTCCAACATGGCATGATTTACCTTTCAAGTAATATCTCTGGTAATTTTCTCTTATTATCCTGGAGGAACCACATTTAGCCTATTAGAGATTCCTTTTGCATATTAACACGTGATGAATCTTTAGGTTTCTAGGTGAACATAATTAGTTGGATTTTTTTGTTCCAAAAATGAAAGGTCTGTCAGAATTCAGTAAAGCTTATAGCCAACATGCCTTAATTGATCACAAAATGGTATCTTACTGTTATTAAAAAGAAAAACCTTTAAATAAAGGGTTTAAAGCAGAACATTCTCACTTACCATAATACCTCAGTATGTGCAACTCCCTCCATGCTGCTGCTTAGTTTCTCCAGTAATTGACTTTGTCCTTGCTTCCGTTTTTGATGCTACTGCTTAGGTATTTGAGTATTCTATTTTGTTTAAATAGCCATATCTCTGACTTGTTGTCTTGACAATTAAAACACGTTTTATGTACTTTTTCACCTGTGATACTGCTGGTGTACAAGCTTCACTTTCAGTAAGTTGCATTACATTTCTAAATGTCACTATATAGCAATATGGCTCCAGTGTGGTTGTCAGAAATGTATCACCATTTCCCTCTGCTGGGCTGATAGAGACTTAACCAAATGCTGTTGATTCAAAAGAAGCAGATTTAAAGACGTAAGATATTAGATGAATACGGCAAACTGAAAGGAGAAGGCTGTTTAAGCTGCTGTATGGGTGTCGTGGTTTAACCCCAGATGGCAACTAAGCGCCACACAGCCGCTTGGTCGCTCCCCCTGGGTGGAATGGGGGAGAGAATCGGAAGGGTAAAAGTGAGAAAACTCGTGGGTTAAGATAAAGATGATTTAATAGGTAAAGCAGAAGTCGTGCACATAAACAAAGCAAAACAAGGAATTAATTCACTACTTCCTATCAGCAGGCAGCTGTTCAGCCATCTCCAGAAAAGCTGGGATCCATCATGCAGAACAGTTACTTGGGAAGACAAACACAATCACTCTGAACATCCCCCCTTCCTTCTTCTTCCCCGGCTTTATATGAGCATGACGTCATATGGTATGGAATATCCCCTTGGCCAGTGTGGGTCAGCTGTCCTGGCTGTGCCCTCTCCCAGCTTCCTGTGCACCCCCAGCCTCCTCGCTGGTGGGGTGGGGTGAGAAGCAGAAAAGGCCTTGATACGGTGTAAGCACCGCTCCGCAGTTAACGAAAACATCCTTGTATTATCAACACTGGTTTTAGCACAAATCCAAAACATAGCTCCCTACTAGCTACTCTGAAGAAAATTAACTCTATCCCAGACAAAACCATCACAGTGGACTAACTTTATCAGGCAAGAATATGCTTGCCAAGCATAGTCTAAAATATGCAGCAAGAAAGGAAAGACTTTGAACACTGTTTCTCTTGCTCAGCCTTTGATTCTCATGAGACAAGCTCTTCCTTGAGACCCCTGTTCCTTCCTGAAGGATACAGCTTAGGGCAATTCCCCAAAACCAAGTTTAAAATCACCAGGTTCTCATTTTAGTAAGACTCATACCTCAAATACTACCCCAAGATAAAGAAGGTACCAGACGACAGAGTATTTTTGACCACCCCTGAGAACTTCTAGGTGTAGCCTTGCTTCTTGTTTAAAACCTCTCTCTTGAAAGAAGAGTGCACTTTCTGGACTAGAGTCACTCAGCTGTACGTGGCACAATGGAGAAAAAGTAATTCTCTGGACTCTTTACATGTGCTCCCTTTTATTCTTGCTCTGTATTTGAGCTATTAAACAGTAGTGGAATAAGGAAAAAACAACATGCCTTTTGTAGGCTCTAACTATCCAATATTGATCAAATAAAATCAAGTGCTACAGTGTAGAAGAAAATGGGAATGGCATGAATCCCTATCTCTGGCTCTATAGAGGAAATTTTACACAGTGACACTTTTAAATACTCTCATTTTCCCCTATCCCAAACTGTTCAACTTTCTGGGAGGAGGTATCTTTTAGAAAAATTCTTCCACTGACTGATGTAGGCTACGTACATAATAAACTAGCAATTCTGTAATCAAAAGGAAGTCTGTCCTCTTGGCATACCAGTGTTTACTTTACTCAGTTTTCTTTTTTTTTTTTTTTTAATGCCACTATACATTACTTGCTTTCTTGAGGTTCATGAGGTGTTATTTACCTTAATGTACCCTGGTCATCAACCCAATCCCACGAGAGATGCGAAAGGTTTTTCTTGGTGCTTTAAGGGAGAAATCATTAATGCTGTGTTAAATACCATTAATTGAGGATACTCATTCATGGCAAATCTATTGCTGAAGAAAGAAGCTGTTACAAGGCGGAATCTCTGTTACAAGGTAGGTTTGTTTACTTAAATGTATTAACGATAAAGACTTTAACTCACGGCTTTCATGTTCTAAAATTTTTACCCTGAAAAAAGCGTAATGGCAGCCTCCTTAGGTTTTCACACATGTTCTGGCTATGTTTTAGACCTTCCATATTGTATCCCTCCCTCTTGAACACCTGTACAAAATCCATCCTTGTGAATCACGGGCACGTCAGTCACCCTGTTCAGAAGTTAAAGCTTCTTAAATATTACAGGAATAAGATCAAGGAAATGCTAATTTTTGCATAGTTAAAGTGTCCATGCAGCTTAAATAATCAAACATACTTCATGCCTACAAAATGTAGACCTAATTTAAGGTTAAATTAGACTACAGAGCATGTTTTAGGTGGACAGTTTCTCCTGACTTGCACAGGTAAGATAAGCAAAAAATGATCAAGTATCTTTTGCTCTTATCCACTGCTCTGCCTCTAAAGGACCAACTTCTGTAGGGGTCTGGTTATCAAGACATGTGCAGTTCTATTTGATTTGCTTCTATTGTTTATTCTATTCCTTTCTTGAGTAGAAAATTGGTATTTCTTTCACAGAACTCCTAGGCCTTTAGAAGCATCAAGCATTTTGATAACAGTAGCTGTCTTTCAAGAGGAAGGCCTAGTGGATGTTTATTACACAGCTTACCGGATTTTTATTTTTTGAGGTCATGAAGCCTAACATGTCAGGAAGAGAAATACTATGTCTCCAAGTTTCTTAGCTCTGATGTTGTCTGTTGTCCTCAACTAAAATCTCCTGTTACTTCCTCTCCAAACAAACAGATGTGCATATACACTACTGGTACACAGATGGTGCTGGCCAATGGCTAAAGACTCTTTCCTGAAAAGCTTTGTGATTATTTGCTGTGGAAATATTAGATCTGGCAGCAGCTCTCTGTTATCACCAACAGAAAATTCTAGCTATGAACCAACTTTCAGAATATAATGACTTAGAGATCTATAGTAAAGTCTACACTAAAAAAAAAAAAATTTATATGGATAATTGTACTGTTAGGTTTAAAAATCTCACTACATGGACATGTTTTAGCAGTTTTGATCTTTGTTTGACTGCACTGCTGAACGGGATCCAAGAAGCAATACATAAACTTGACCACTAAAAAAGGATTTTTTAATGGAAAGTTCAGGATGATATGCAGCATTGAAGTCTCTTAGTCAGTAGTTAATTGCTTCCAATTTTTCATAGAGACTTTTGAAGGATGTTGACTATAATAGAACTTTAAAGAGAGTTAAGTATTACATACCTGCTCCTGTTGCAAATAATAGTCAATATTACTATTAAACTGCCAGCTCAATTTTAGAATACAGTATAACTGCAGCTTCCATCAGATTATGAAAATCTGATTTTTTTTTTGTTCTATTAGAACAATTAAGACAAAAGTTACTGTTTAAATCATACTATGCTAGGTCTAGTTGATAATTTGGAGTCTATAACATAAGAACTGCAGCATTTAATAATTTACTATAATTTAGGCAACTAAACTGCTTTAACCTTGGTAACAGAAAAGAGGAAAAAGCAGCAATGAAAACCCTCCATTTGTTTTTTTCCTTAAGGCTAGATTGGAAGGACCATCACTTCCTTCCTACAAGAATGATCAGCATGGTCTCTATGACTCCATCTCAGTGTTCACCTGGAAGTAGGTGAGTTAAATATTCCTAATGCACACAGGATTGAAGTAATTATGCATCTATTTTAAGCAGATGTGAAAAAGCCACAGGTAAAACCCTTCCTTCCTCTAGTACAGCTTGAGGAGTAGACCTTCCATTGCCAAGCTGAGCCTGAAAAAAGCAAAAGCATTGCAGCTTCGAGCAAGACTGAAAAACTGGCTTATAATTGAGAGAGTGGTAACCACAAACTGAGACATAAGCTCACAGAATAAACTTGCTGACAGCTAGTCTACTCAATGCATGCTATTTCAATGGGTAGCCAGTGTAATTAGCTTTGAGTGCAGTAGAGCATGCTTCAAAAATTATGTTAAGGCACAGCCATATATGCTATTTCAGAAAGACTTGAACATAAAAAGCTTGCAGCTATTTAAAGCAGCAGGAAACCTTTTTACCTGTCATGGCCTATAATGTTACAAGCCAGAAGTGTATATTGTAAGAAGCAATTACTTGCCCTAGCAGAACAGACTGACCAAGAAGTTGACTGCAAGCTTCCCTGCTAAGTCCAGTCAATTCCCATATGAGTAGCTTCATCTGAAGTTACCCTTTTTTGCTTACCTGCTCAAAGGTGCTCAACTGTTTAGAATATTTATTACTTAACACTGGCAATCTAACTTTGAGTGTGCCATGATTCAACTGGAATGTCTAAATGCAATGGGTTCATCTGAATGCCTGCTGTAGGAATACTCATCAGGTGACATCCTGTACCATTTAAAGTTACGTTAAATCAGAGGCTTTTGCATGATGCTAGAAAACATTTGTTTCTAGTTTCTACTAAAACTTTCTCAGAAGTTTCATCTCACTTTTCAGATTTTTTCATATACATCTTCTATTCTCACAAGAGAAGAACAGATTGTGCCAGGTTAGAGTTCTGGTGCAGTGTCACCAGCGTGAACATGCATTCTATCTAAATTGGACAGGTTAAATACAGAGTACTTCTGTGTTTAATTTCTTCTTCCTCTATCGTTAAGGTAATACTGGACTTATGAGCACATTCTTTAATCACAGCAGCTGGTAGGAATACCAAAACTAGTCCAACAGCAAGGTAGAAAGGTTTTAATGATATTGGGGAAAAAAAAAAAAGACTTTAACAAATTTAAAAATAAGCCAGTTAATACAAAAGCATCATGATACTATGCTAGTGATTAGGGCAGTAATACAGACAGGCCAAATACAAGTCTTCTGCCCCACAGCCTTACAAAGCAAGTATTTCCACCCTTGCTGTGTTTACAAGTTAGTGCTTACACTGCACCCAAGAGGCAGGAGTTCCTTACAGAAAAAGCACAGAAGTTAAAGGACTTTGAATTTACTTCAACTGATGAAATTAGCATTAGAATTCAAGTTCCTAGATCCCAGACAGCACCTGGAAAAACAGCACAATGACAGCTTACCTAGGCCAAATCACAGTAAACCCTACCCAAGAATGAGCACTCCGTGTTCAGTAAGCAATCGTCCGGGTGCCTTCTTTCTGTTCTTTAACCGTGCCTCAAAGTGTCTTCCATGAGGTCTTCCATCCTTTATATTGAGAATGGCGGGAGGCCAAAGTAAGCAAACTGCCTGGGGCTTCAGAAGCTAGATCCATCATGATCAGATGGAAGCTTCTGGCTCCCAACCAGGTATTCAAAGCTGAACCCTTACATGCTGTGTTTAGCAATACCATTGTTCTAGTATTCTGCAAAAAGTCAAAACCCCTTTGGTTACAAATGATTTGAATCATCACTGGAGTTTAAGCCTTAGGACAATGTCCAGATTTTTGTTATCTATAGCCAGACCACAGTATGACCAGCAAACTGTGGGTCCCAGGATATATCTTGCTTGTATTGATTCTAATAAAAAAAAATAAAAGTTGCAAGCAGCACTTATTTTTTGCGTTTTGAGTTAAGCCAGTCTCCCCAGGGTAGAGTTTTCTTGCCCTTTGACGTGCTCCTTAGGGAATGCAAAGTCTGCACTTGTTGTAGACGCTTGGAGAGCTCCTGATCACAGGCTTGCTGCAGAGCTTCTGCTTTCTGCTTGTCCCATCTTAGAGCCGAGGCCAGGGCTTCTGTGTCTTCTTTCAAGACTAGCTGTAGCAAGACAGATTTCTAAGTCTTTTCTGCTAATGCTCCTCCACCACTTAACGCCTCTCACCGCATTAAGAACAGCAGTAATGAGACACCTGTTTACAATTTGGTATTAAAAATGTTCCCAGTGTTCATTATCTATCATGTGGTCTAGTGTATTTTCAATATTCTACCAACATTTAAGGCTTGAAGTTATGTTCAGATGTTCAAAAGAACAGAAAGCAGTTACTTAGTTTCTACAGCAGTGAAAAGCAAGAGGAGCAAGTCCATAGCATTAGAAAGAACACACTTTCTAAAGGCTAAAGTTTACATAGACTTTCCTTTCCAAGCTATGGGTTTATTTACACTGTTTTCCAAAACAAGGAGGATTTTATTTTTATTTGGGATACATAAAAGAAATATAGCTAGATGGATCTGCATACAAAAAAACCTCTTGCTGTTAAGACAGCTGAAGCACTGGCTGACTATGATTTGGTAGAGATCAAAACCAAAATTATTTTGTAGCTTTTCAGAGGACAGACGAGAGTACTTGGAATAGTGTCAACTGGCTATTACAGAGGAGCTCCAAGCAGGAGACAGTGTTACTAAGGAAGAGAAATAGATTAACTCTCACCACTTTGAGACCAAGATACATTAGAGCCTTCAGAAGCAAGGACACCTTCCCCCTATAACCTCTCTCTCCAAAGGGAGAGATTTGACAGAATATGGTAATGTCATCGTCACCCACCTCTAGATCTTGACTGTCCAAGCAGAGCTCTGGAGCAGGTTTCTCTTTCAGAGCAGCAAGGATCTGGTCACTGAGCACCATTTTGGCTGAAGTGCCTGTACTGCTGGTACCTGTGTCAACCACATCCATCTCTTTTCTTGGTACAGTCTCAGATTCTGAAAAGTAGCAGAATCATTATAGCCCATGACAAACACATGACAGAAAAAGTGGCCTGCACAGCTTTGATGGTTTTGAGATTAATAAAATATGCATTCTATCTAGGTGCATCCTCTAACTTAGGAAATTCATAATGTTAAGGGTGATTACATGATTTAAGCTTTTCTCCCAGTATTCTACTTTCAGGCCTTGTGAGAAATGTGACACAGCAATGAGAAGACTCCTGGTCTCACCCAGTCGGAGATTTCTATACCAACTACAACATCCACCACATTAATAGCTGCTAAGCAGTCCTTCACTCTGCCTTATTTACTCCACTCAACTATTTCAGGCATCTCTGAAAAGCTCCTTCTCTAACATCCTAATGCTCCCTACCTGCTACTTTGCTTAAGATACTGTCTTCGTTTTTCAAGGCCTCTAGGTAGAGTTCCAGAAGCTGTCTTGACTGGCGTTCTTCTTCTCGTCTGTCCAGCACCTGCTGCAGGGTGTCCTGCAATACCTGGATTTTAGGTTGACTTTGGGAAAGTTCTTCTGCCAGGTGTGAACGTGGTACATCAATAAGCACCTTAAAACAATTAGAGTGCTCCTGTTACATGGACTGATTGAGTAACTCATTCCATTACACTGATTACGGTACAAACAGCAAGCCTCCTGGATGACAGAGCCTCCACCTTCATGAAACCTAGCATGTTTCACAAGGTTTCTTGTTGCAGCAAGTCAGCCTAGTTATGAGAGGCTGTAGTGGCACTCCACCAGCCAGCATTCTTTATCAGAAGGCAAAAGGCATCCAGGAAGGTGTGGAATCAAGTGCATTTTTAACAGAAATCCTGACAACTCCTGACAATCAGTACCACTTCTTAAGAGTGCATGGGAATACACAAAGAAAAGCCAATAGCCTGGCACTTGGGAAGCTGCATGTTGCAGGAGGACAAGAGGCAGTTATCACCATGCCTCACCATATACAAGGTGTTAAGCTGTCAGATACTCCAATCAATCAGCTCTGGAAACTGACAGCAGTTCTTCAAACCCCTTCCAACCTGGAGCAGACAGATTTGGCATGCTGTGCAGCCTTCCCTTTTGACATGTTACACAAGTGTCCAGTTTTATGGAAGGAGCCCACCTCAGCTGCCATTTGGCCAAACCTTGACTTTCTGCTCTCCCACTGCTAGAACTGGAAAGACACGCTGCGACGGACACTCTGGTTAAGAGCGTCCTCCTCAAGACACTTGCAAGTGTTTCCCCTCAAGGAGACATTTTACTCTAGCACCAGGGCCAAACAGGAGCAAGCTGAATTAAGCTCGAGATCTTGTTTACTTATTCTGTTCTCTGCCATGTGCTGAGATAAATGGATGATGGGCAGAGCTAAAGACAGCAATTAGAGGTTTCCTCACTGTACCTGGAGGTCTTCTTCAGACATCAAGATGATATTAGACAGGTCATCCTTCAGTTGCCTGGCCAGCTGCTTCCACTTCTCTGCAGCACTGTCCACTTCATCCACAGACTCTGAGAACCAGGTTGTTCCACTGTCTGACACAAGAGTCATCAGTTTCATGGGTCATTCCCCACCCACCCGAGACAGCCTAATTTCACTAAGGGTACTCCAAACACCCCTCCGCTCCCACGCTCCCTCATCCATAGAGTACCTAGGCTTTTGCTGGACCATTTCTCATTCTTGGCCAGTGCCACAAACTTGGTGTTAGATGGCAGGCACAAGAAGTAATCTTCATCATCCACAATGGTGCCATCTTCTGCCAGTACTAATGTGATGGGCTCCCTGGCTTTGTCAATAGCCAGAATGCCACTAGCTGCAGAACAGAAAAAAAATTTAATGAAATAATAAGCGCGACATTCACGCTGCCCTTCCACTACACCCATCACAAGAGACAAACAGCTCTTAGTAATTTTGGCTAGAGACCAGGGCCTGTCTCCACACAGCTCTGCGTATCAGCGCGCTTTTAACACACACTCACGAATTTCCCCTCCGGAAATTAGTATTCTTGATGCAAACCTTGATGTACACATAGAAGAAGGCGCCTTTCCGTGACCTCCCTCCAGACGCTCACTCCCACCTCCCTTCACTTCCCCCAGGAGGAAGGGCCACCCGGAGACGTGCTCTCCTTCAGTCTCTTCCACGGCACAGATC